TGTGTAGAATTAAAGAAATGGCGCGCTTTTAAAGAAAAACTTTGAATTTTATTGAAAATTTTTGCACTAGTTTGCAATAAAAAGGACTTTAATGTTCAATTTATTTCATACATTTAAGTTCATATGTTAGATACTATTGTCATAGATATGTGCAAAAAATTTGAGCGTGATTGATAAACTAGTTTTTGAGTTATCAGCCACACCAATTGTAAAAATGTAGTTTTGAGAAAAACGCGTTTAAAGTTTCACTTTAACTCCGCACTGAACGCGTGTATACCCGCGGCGCTAATCGGCCATAACTTCAAAAGGGCTTCGTATTTCACTTTAAAATTTTGAGACCATATTTTTAAGATGCTGCACTAACATTTTATGGAAAAAAAAAATTTGAAAATTTTTTAAGATTTTAAAGGTATTTCCCCCCTTAAATGAAAGACTCTGTAAAAATGACCGTATGTTATTTGAATATTATCATAATTCAAATAAATTTTCATAAACGCTAGTGTAATCAATCGCAAAAAAATTGCATTGAACTTCTTCAATCCACTCCATAAATTCTGCAATTAACGCTCGTTAAAGCATCGAATCTCTTCAAACTTTCTTACTTTCGACACTACCACGCAGATACGATCTCCAGAAAGTCGGATGCATTGAATTACATCGATTTCTCGATTAAAAACCGCAATGAAAAGGATACCCGCTCCGACTTTCTTAATTACGTACTTCGTTCGGAATAAAAAGGTCACTTATCGCATTTTGCTCAAGACAGGAAGAAAAGAGAGAAGGCGCCGTCATAAAAAAGGGGCTAGAACAAGGGTAATTCGTGGGGTCATTTACGTTCTCTATTGAGAACAGATCTTCGTTACACACCAAAGTTCGTTAAAGAAAAATAAAATTCATAACAAATCACGTTACAGGAAATGTGCGTGGATTGTCAATTCTTCCCAACGTTTTAATCGAAATTTTATTCTCATGTTTTGTTCCGAATGCTCTTCTTTTTATTACATTACACTTGTAATCTCTTTGAATTAAATGTATAATTTTTACTGAACATAGTCGTTATATTCTTTGTGTTCATGAAAATTATTCTTTGAAAATTATTGCAAGAAAGAATAAAAGTAGACTTTGCAGCATCCTCCACTTTATGTGCGACACTAACGGTTAATTCACGAACTAATATTAATGGCTGACGCAGATATACGATAATAACTTACAATTAGATACGACAACTGTATTTATTAAAAGTGAAAGAGTAAACAATTTTAAAACTTCGAATTTTCTTCGCATCAAAGACTAGTGCACAGAAAAAAATAATTAAAGAAATGTGGTACACAATAAATTTAGTCAGTGATAGGAATACAGAAGTAACCATATGTGTTATAAGTAATGAATATAAATATATTTTAGTAATATCAATAATTAAATTCAATGACTAAAATTGAGAATAGTTTGTTGACTTTGTTCTTTTTGTTGCAAACACACATTCTCTACAAACACTGGTAAAGTATATAAATTCAATTTTCTTGCAAATGAAGCAGTACCAGGGAACATTTTCTTCTATATTTTTTATTCACATTTCCAAGTAAATTCACCCCATTTTTTATTGTACCAAATCAGAAATAGCCTATAACCGTGGTAATTAACTTTGTGTTGTGTTTGAATTTGAGAAATATACTGAAAATGCGATTTTTCAAAATTATACAGGTAGGGAAAATACAATTTGCAAATTTGAAATCGACGCAATAAACACTATTACAATTATTTAGTATACATGTAGATTAAGTCAAGTGGTTGTTGAATAGTGTAATGGTAGACTACTTTGGTGACTGCTTGATGTACTAACTCTAACTGTTATGTTTCTCATAACAAAAGTAATCCTATGAAAATGTAGGAATTAAAAGTATTCATCATTGTTTCCCAACATTTCTGTTGGTCCATTTGACAAGTTTTTAAAATTTCATAGACAATAAAAACAATAAACTCATGAGTCTGTTGCTGAATACCTTGTAAATGTTTGAAAATCTACAAATATGCAGACATATGTTGCGAAACTGATGATTGCTTTGCAATATATGTATTTTTCCATTTTACGGACGTTTATAACTACATGAATAATAAAATAAACTCGTGAATGTACTGCTGAATATTTTTTCGACATTTGTAAATATACAAACATACAGACATGCAATTGCGAAATCTTCAAGTCATAAATTTTCAAATGAAAATTGATTTTTTGTTGCGAAAAATCAGAAGTTATTTCTATTAATAAGCGGTGAAATAAACAAGTGAGAACAGTGAAGCTGTTCTACCATTCCATGTTCATACTAAATATTGTTTTTTCACATTCTGAACCACAGCGAAAGAAAGAAAATATCTAGGACTAGTTTGACGAATTTTATCATTTTTATAAAAATTTGTGTTGAACAATTACAGAAAATCTCTTACAAATATCGAGTCAGGCTTTGGTGTAAATAGAATGTAGTAAATATCGTTAAATATTCAACAAATGAATTTGATATTGTAGTAAAAACAATATTGAAAGAAAGTTCATATCCTAGAAATAGGTAGAAACGATATATGTATAATTTACTGTTGAGGTTGACATGTATCAGTTTAATTAATAAATTTATAGATTTATTTACAAATTGAGAGAGTGTTAACTTTTTTCCAACCAATGTCCATCTTGCATTACCAAGAGTGATAGACATTTTGAGATGGAGTACTTTGAGATTGATCTGTTATTGTCTGTATTATATATGTTGTAATAATCGTAAAGTTGCTAGTGTTCTTTCTATTTAATATTCTTGCCATAACTTTTTAACATATTCAAAAGACATCTATTTGAACGATATTTTTTTCTTACTTCAACATATAGAATATACTAACTTTTGGCTGCTAAAACTTCGGACACCCTGTATAAATTTATGTAATAAGGGAATAAAGCAGAAACCTGTTACTGCAGCATTTTTCAATTTTCCCAGCAAATTTTAAACGGGTGGGCCAGTTAGAGTCGGATATACATAAAACATGCGGAAATGAGAATAATGTATGCAAAAGATATGCAATATGCAATTTATGCAAAATAAAAAAGTATCTCTATGATATTTTGATAACAGAACATATCTCTGTCTTAGTTCCAATCATTTCTTCATCTTATATAAAGATATGCATTTGCATAATCCATCACCCGGTTACCAGTTATGGAACTATTTGTCTGTCGCGTTTCCAAGTATGGTTCATATGTTTGCAGAAAATTACACGTGCGTTTCCTCTGATTCAAATCTTGTCAACCAACAAATATTTAACGCGGCCCGAAAATATAATCGATCGAACGGTCGACATCGTTGCTGCCATTCGAATAAATCATCCGGTGGGCCGTGTGCACATGCTCAAAGACATTTTCGTGCGAATTTATTTCGCACTTCGTAATAACCAATATCGTACAGATGGTTTTGGCGTGCGTGATGATGCGGAAATGTTTTTGCAGCCGAAAAACGATTATTTTTATGGATGGACGATCAGTAAATTTAACCCCCCATGAAATCGAAGCTTCATTTAATTCGCGTTAAACCATCGCATGTTCACATTTGTGTATCTGTAATATTTTATTGTGTCTTGTGTTTCAATATTTTACGATTTAAATCTTTCTCCTGCAAAAACGTAATTGTTAAAGTATTAATTCTAACAATTTTGAAATACAATTAGTAGCTTATAATAGCACTAAGCTGCGTTTTTTCATACAATTTCCAATGAAGACAATTTTATTTTATTATTAGAATAAACAATAATTAAACAAATAATTTGCTTTTAAATTTTAAGGGGAGATTTGGAATGATGTTAGCTAATTACAAAATATGCTGTTCAAGTGGTATTAACAATCATCGCATATCATAGATATCTGAACGCAGAATTACATACCGTATTGATTTCCGGTATCAGAAGTAGGCCGTGTCATTTGAAAACAAGTTAACTTCCAAATGACCTCGAAGATTTCATTTTACAACATTTTCGAAACTTCCACTAAATTCCACACAGTAAATCCTACAAGTTTTATCTCGGTCATATTTTACAAAATTTGGAATTGTCAAAATTATTCAGAAGATCCGAAGCTTCTATACACCATGTATAACATATACTGAATTTAGGTAAGTTACGTAATAAATCAATCACTTAAATTAGGAAAAACAAACATTTGAAAATGCAAGTATTGTTGTATTATTTAAATACAAATTGATACATAATTGGATATATTTATTTTGAATGTAAATAATCAATCCTTCGAATAGCCAGTATTTGAATAATAACAGTTCTACGGTAAAGATGTAAAAACATCTCTTATCATTCTTTACTTTGAAAAATGATTCTGTGATTTTTTTAGCAAACAGTGACATTGAATTCATATTGAAGTATTGCGTATCAATAACATCATTCTCACTACACAGACATGCCTAAAACAATTGCCGAACCTAGTAGTGTTCCTGGGACGACTTGATCTGCATTCGTATGTTTATTTGCTTATCAGTACCATGCTTCAGCCTGCAACTTTGAGTTTTGTGGCTTGAAATTTTTTGGGTAGACTTGAATCTGTTGTCATCGACGTCGATCGTTGTCAAATCGATAGAATCCGTGTTTTGGTATCGTTTCCGATAATGTTTGACGCATAGGATCGCGTCTGGTATCACGGTAAAAGTTCTGTAACTCATTGTTGTCGACAATACTTCATCGTCATTGACGTCAGTCGTCCTGAAATCAACAATAATCGTATTTGGTATTGTTTTCGATGTTTCAGACTTGCGTAACCGTTTGGAACGGTTTTAAAACCGATTCATCTCATTCTTGTTCTACGTACATATATGTTTATAGTAGGCACGTATAAATTTTAAATACACATTTAAATTCACGTAAACCACCTGGCTTGTAAACTCACTAGTTTAATATACATATATTATGATTTAGAAGCGATTATTTAACTTTTGCAAACTAATCTTTAATCTTTAATACAGTGGAGCAAACAAGAGGAAACTGCATTCGTGTTACAATATGGCGATATTCATGGCAGTAGTATGCAAAATAGGATATTGCTACCCGTTAATGTAGATATTATCAGATATATAAAATTTAAAAATTAAATATTTTAAATTACAATCTCTTTAAATTACCATCTACATATTCTTTTTTATCATTGTATTTTTAGGTATAATTAAAATCAAATTTTAATTATATTAGGTTGAGTATAATTAAAATCAAATGAGATGTGTTTACAATGAGTGTAGAACGTATTCGTGCACGAATGAATTATGCAAGAATTAAGCAAGACTGCGAAATTACTTATTTTTTCTAACTATGAGTAAAAACTAAGTATATAGTATCAAAAAATCCTTTGAAAGTTTGAACTCAAAAATTTTGATTTAAGAAATCGTTCAAAGCAATAGAAAGTCAGTTAGTAAATAATTCACCATTACTAATGAAATCCTTAAATGAATGTATGTGCTATAGAGAGAAGGAACTTCTTAGTAGAGATTTGAGGCTTTCACGGCCCGGCGTCATACAAGTATTATTGTTTAGGATTTCGGGTGTAAGCCGTGTCCTAAAGGAAGCGAGTTCCCAACGTTTCGCCAGCATTGCAGCTAGCTTCATCAGGGGTTACACTGATACTGGTGCGACTGGTGTTATGTCGCCCCTTATATTGTGATGTGATGCTCACGTTCCGGATCGTTGACTGTTCCAGTTGATGCGATGCTCACGTTCCGATTCGTTCACTGTTCCGGTTGATTGCGTCCAATCAGAAAATGGGACTTTTTGATTGTGCGCACAATTAAAAAACTGGGAAGCCTCCAACTTCCGACACCCTATCCGCACTGGCCAAAGGATACAAGTTTGCCATCACTTCTAAATCAATCCCAACCGAAGAAATCATTAGCCAAGTCGAAAATGCCATCCATAACCTCCCAACAGAACAGGCCAATGAAATAAGAAGACTGACCACCAACACCTTAAAATCGGCCAAAACACCTACTCCCAACCTGACCAAATCCGAGCAGAAGGCACTACAGGACATCAGGAAACGCAAAGATATCCTTATCCTCCCAGCTGACAAAGGTAATATGACGGTCATCATGGACAGAAACGAATACGTCAAAAAAGTACATGACCTACTGGACAATACAACTTACAGGACAGTAAACAAAGTCCCCCATACTCGGTTGAAAGAACCACTACTACCCTTATAAAAAATGCCAAACTTCCTGACCACATCACAAAAGCCATCCTGCCCAAGGAATCAAATGCACCCAGACTCTACGGACTACTTAAAATCCATAAACCCAACATTCCACTGAGACCCATAGTCAGCACCATTGGTTCTCCCACATACACACTTTCAAAGTACCTTACATCTGTTCTCAAACCCCTTACCGGCAACACACCCAGCTCCATAACTAACTCATTCCACTTTATAAGTAAGATTCAGGATATCCGAACCCTGCCCCATGACATACTTGTCAGTTTCGACGTGCAGTCCCTCTTCACTAATGTCCCCATCAAAAGAAGTATCGAAATCATCCAGGACAAAGTCCCTGAAAACCTAGTTCCTCTAATCCAACACTGCCTCAACACCAATTATTTCATCTTCCAGGATACATACTATGAACAGGTGTCCGGAGCAGCAATGGGATCTCCCATCTCTCCCGTGGTTGCTGACATCTACATGGAGTACTTAGAGAATTACATTCTTAATAACGCGCCACTAAAACCATCTCAGTGGTTCAGGTATGTGGATGATACCTTTGTAGTTTGGAGCCATGGAAGAGAAAAACTTGGCGAATTCCTTGATTACATAAATTCCTTGGATCCCAACATACAGTTCACTATGGAAATAGAAAACCCGGACCGTTCACTACCTTTCCTCGACACCCTAATTACTAGAAAAGCAGACGGAACCCTTGGACATAAGGTTTACAGAAAACCTACCCATACCAACAGATACGTACATGCTACATCCCACCACCACCCTTCCAAAAAGAATTCCGTAATCACATCTCTCATCCACAGAGCAACCTGCATTAGCGAAAAAGAGAACCTGGCCAATGAACTGGAACACATTAGGTCTACGCTACAACAAAACGGTTACTCCAGACAGAATTAATCGCACCATAGACCGACTGACCAACCAAACAACAAAACCGACACACAAACATACGACGGACACACACGACAAAGAACACGCAACTACCTTCTTACCATACATTCAAGGTACGACGGACCGCATAGGCAGAATCCTCAGGAAACACAACATTAGGACTGTTTTCACAACTCATACCAAAATAGGACAACTCCTCACCTCCCCCAAGGACCCGCAGCCGCAGCTGTCTACACCAGGGGTATACAAAATCCCATGCTCATGCGGCCAAGTATACATCGGCAAAACTGGGAGGAGCGTGAACACTAGACTCAAGGAACATGACCGTTGCACCAGGTTGGGCTACATTCAATCAGCCGTGGAAACACAACATTAGGACTGTTTTCACAACTCATACCAAAATAGGACAACTCCTCACCTCCCCCAAGGACCCGCAGCCGCAGCTGTCTACACCAGGGGTATACAAAATCCCATGCTCATGCGGCCAAATATACATCGGCGAAACTGGGAGGAGCGTGAACACCAGACTCACGGAACATGAGTGTTGCGCCAGGTTGGGCTACATTCAATCAGCCGTGACGGAACACCAGATTACTACTGGGCACAAAATCCTGTTTGATAAAATCGAGGTTTGGCAAAAACATCAGCCTACCTTCCCCGGAAGCACAGGGAAGCAATAGAAATACGGAAACACCCGAACAACATCAACCGGGAAACAGGATATCATATTAACCCAATCTGGCATACGCTCTTCCCAGTTTTTTTTAAATTGTGCGCACAATCAAGGTCCCACTTTTTGATTGAACGCAATCAACCGGAACAGTTAACGATTCGGAACGTGAGCATCGCATCAACTGGAACAGTCAACGATCCGGAACGTGAGCATCACATCACAATATAAGGGACGACATAACACCAGTCGCACCAGTATCAGTGTAACCCCCGATGAAGCTAGCTACAATGCTGACAAAACGTTGGGAACTCGCTTCCTTTAGGACACGACTTACACCCAAAAGCCTCAACAGTAATACCTGTAACTTCTTAGTAAATACGGTCAACCTTGCTAACTTTCTGAGCAAGCAGAAGAAATACATATACAAATACTGCCGGAGAAATGATAGCACATTCACAGAATTTATACATATATTTTCACAAAAAAGAAAGTTACATTGCAATGAAGTTAGAACCCTCCTCTCTTCGATCTCAGAAGGTGCAATCGCTCGCATGGTCCGCACAGCCTCCAGTGACACCGCGAAGGTTCCCGCGAAGGGCGGATAATTACGGAGGGGTTTGGGGGTGTCGCAGGCGGTTGAGCCGGGCATTTTCGGAAAGGCTGCAACCTAAAAAACCTCATTCTGTAAAAAAATTTCGGATTTTTTTCTCATTCTGTAAATAAATTTCGGATTTTTTCTTTTTTTCTGTCGAATTTAGAGCCTTTTTTTCGGTTTTTCGACCCCCTAGCATTCAAGGGGTCGCCGATACCGCAAGGGGGTGGCAGGCAACAATGGCACTCCTGGAGCATTGAGATAACCCATGGGCCCAACTATCCTCAAAATTTCAAAGTACTACCTCCAACAGAACGTAAAGAAAGAAACGGCTAAAGAAAGTGGTGCGTTAATTTTGGCCAGCAGTGTATAAACTATTTGTAGCTGTTTTCGAAGGTTGTAAATCTTCGTCGACCCATAGCGTTTCCACAACTTGTTACGGTAGTGAAATTATATGTAGAATTAGTATTATAGAGTAGAATTTATAGAGTGGCTCAGAGTCTTCCACACTGGTGTGCCCAGGTCAATGAAGAATGTAGATCATCATCCCACTAGTTGTAATGATTGTTGTATGTTGTTGTCGTTGAAAGTGACAAAGTTAATGTAAGACTGTCAAAAGTAAGTATGTTTCAACGAAGCTAATCTAAGGCTGCCTAGTCGCTTCTAAAAAACCAGAAAAGAAAGCACTGGAGAAAGTTCAGGGCGTGAAGGCGTTACCAAAAAGGGTCAATCAGGATAGATTGTTATTTGGAAAAAATACTGATTGGTGAGATGGTTCAGCGAATAAGATTGTAAGACTTTTAGCCCTCACTCCAAAGTTGTAAATTACGTTTTGTTAATAAGGTGACCCAAACAGTTAAGTGATTTGGGTTCTTCAAAAGAACTAAATAATAGGACACATTGCGGGACTGCTGAATGACCGAGTCAGAGTGCCTGGCCCGCCGAGTACGCAAAGATATTCGTAAACATTGCATACCGCGGGGTAGCACAGTTTAGGACCATGGAAATAAACTTCTTTAACGAAAGATATATTGGCTTTAGAAAGATGTGCTTTTCTGGCCCGTTAGAAGGCTATTGTCAATAGTTAGGAACGTCAAGTTGTGGAGACGTTTATGTGGTCTTACAGATCCATTCAAAACTGTAAGAATGAAGCGTTTTTGGGCTTGAAAGAATACCCATAAATTTTAAGCTAATTATATTCCGAGCAACTCGAAACACTAACATTTTCATTTTACTACCATGATTTAAAAAAAGAAAGATTAATAAAAAACAAAGACAAATGGGTGGGGGTGGTGTAATGATTTGGGCTGGAATTTAAACGGAATGGATACAAAGGCAAAACAAATGTACAGTTTCTTCAAGGAAAAATGAATTCTCAAACGGAATGGATACAAAAGCAAAATAAATGTACAGTTTCTTGAAGGAAAAATGAATTCTCAAAAATATATAAATTTAATCTCAAAACAAATTAATGAACACGCACTACGAATTACCAATGATAAATTTATTTTTCAACATGACAATGCTGCAATTCTCCGAATTAAAGTCGAAGAACAATTTTTTCAAAGAGAAAACGTATCGGTTTTACCGTTGCCCGCACGCTCCCCGGACCTGAATATTATTGAAAATTATTGGGGAGAACTAGCACGTGCTGTATATAAGAATGGAAAACAGTATGATAATATTCAACAATTGAAAGAAGCTATTAAGATAGACTGGGATAATTTGCCACAAAATACAATTAAAAAGTTATACAAATCCTTACCAAAGCGGGTACTCGAAGTAATAGAAAATAAAAGCGGATTACTATTATTATCATATTATTATTAACTTTGTATTAATTGCAATGTAACTTTCTTTTTTGTGAAAATATATGTATAAATTCTGTGAATGTGCTATCATTTCTCCGGCAGTATTTATATACATGGTGTGTTCCAAAAGTAATGAGAACGAAATTCCTGCGTCGCTCATTGGAGGGGGATTGGACCACATGGGTTAGGTGCGGGGGACCCTTAGCTTTCCAATGAACCCGGTCCCAAGGCTCTCCGACCTGTGAAAGGGACAGGACGTGAATTTTTGTGACCCCCTGTTTGGTGACCGTGTCGCGGAAAAATTGGAGTCGACGATCGGAACAACGATACGCGATAAAGCTTTTCTGCTAAACTAAACAAATCTCTTGAGGACATAAATAAAATGATTCGTGAGGCTTATGTGGACTCTGTTCTGTCGTACTCACAAGTTTCGAGGTGGTTAAAGGCCTTTAAGGAAGGGCGGGAAGAGGTTCGCGACGATCAACGATCTGGGCGGCCACCAACCAGCAACAGTCCGTCAAACAGTCCATAAAGAATTTCTTTCTGAAGAACAGATAGTTAACACCGCCTACTACGTGGTTGTGCTGGACAGACTGCGAAAAAGGATCGTCAGGACGAGAAAACACATCTTCGCTACCTGGATAGTGCATCTCGACAACGCGCCTTGCCACAACGCCCTGCGAGTACGTGAGTTTCCGACCCAAAAGAAGATGATAACGCTTCCTCAACCCCCCTATAGTCCTGCCCTGGCACCGGCAGAGAGTTTCCGACCCAAAACAAGGTGATGACGCTTCCCCAACCCCCCTAAAGTCCTGACCTGGCACCGGCAGACTTTTTTTTGTTCCCCCGGATCAAGACACCCCTGAAAGGAACGCGTTTCTTGTCGATACAAGACATCCAAGCGGCCGCGACCGAAGCCCTAAAAGGGGTTCCGGAAAACGTATTCCAGGACGCGTACCGTTCATGGCAGGGTCGCTGGCAAAAATTTTCAAAAATGTAGAAGCTCAAGGGCAGTATTTTGAAGAATTTTTAGTATTTGTAAGAATTGGTTCAATAAATTCCTTTAAAAAGAATCATTCTCATTACTTTTGGAACACACCATGTATGTATTTCTTCTGCTTGCTCAGAAAGTTAGCAAGGTCAACCATATTTACTAAGAAATTCCTTCTCTCTATCATGTAACAATTATTGTATATATATGTGTTACATTAAAAAATTCTAAGTAGTTTTCAAGAAATTAAAGATAGCACACATGTGCTATCTTTTTGTCCAGGACTGTATATTATGGGATATGGAATAATTTACCAGCAAATTAGTAACAAATCTTTAATTTCAATTAATTATTAATTATGTATATCTGCATTAGTACCGACTTGAAATAATACAGTGACATTTTTAGTTTGAATCTTTATTGAAATTATTTAAACTAAACTAGTATTTAACTTTTGAATACTTAACTTGATATTAGCCATGATCGCGTTATGATTCCATTTCTTTGGTCAAAAAGTAACTTCATAGATTTAATATATAAAAATATTCTTATGGTACAGTTACAAAATCCACTGATTTTACTTATTTTTACAAGTTCCATACAGGTGCAGCTGAAAACTCTTTGACCTTTTCTGTCATCCGTAATGTGACACAAAGGTTTTAATCAGAAAAGCTGATCTTTTGTCGCGAGAATATAACTTTTCTACCCATCAAAAGAGTGATGCATAATATCCTGAGGAGTTTTAGAATAAAAAGGGGATTTAAACTTTCATTCTGTTACAGATTTGTTACATCAGTATAAAAATATCTGTGTTTTTGATACCATGCAATTTTATATTTTGCATAGAATATCCGGGAAACGTTCTCTCCTGTTACTTGTGTATTGTTGATTTAGAAATTTTTTATTTAGAAAATCTGAAATTTAAATATTTAGGAATTT